TGTCTAACAGGGCAGTTGAACAGAAGTCTATGGGAAGATCAACTTCTGTTCAACTGCAATCATGGGCGTTTGTACCATGAGGCAAACAAGGCGTTTGCCTTGGGCAGCATTTTCCGGAGGGGGCGGGCAGTACCCTGGCAGGTGACAAAGGAAGGAGAAGCAGATCTCTCTTTCTCTTGCGCTCTCTCTCTTCCATCACTACACCATCACTGGCCCCAATTTGGATGGGGAGGGGAGCCAAATTTTACTCTTGCCTAGGGCTGCAGGAAACTAAAATACAGTGGCCATACATGGACTGAAATTCATCTGGTCTCTGCTAAACCAGCTGAATTTCAATCCATTCATGGCCACCTTTACCTTCATTCTTCCACATCTGTACAGGCTCCTTTCCTTGTACTGAAATCATTTACCCTGATTTCACTGCACACTGTGAACGTCTTACAGTGTACATTAGAAACTGCAGTCATTCATTTCCTGGCTGGGAGACATTCAGTATCATCTAGAACTCTGATCCAAAGTCTAACTGTCTATTGACTTTCATTCATTCAATTTTGGTTCTGTTAATCATGGAGGCTCAGCATCACATATGTGCATTACTTAAGGTATGCAAAGGCAACCTACCCAGGAATGCCCATTTCTCCAGACTGACATCCATACATCAAGGCATATTTGCACAACTCGTTCCAAGAGCCGGGCCACAGCTTGCATCAGGTCTGAGAGCTCTTTAACCACTTGAGCCCCAGAGGATTTACCCCCCTTAATGACCAGGCCTTTTTTTGCTGTTTGGCGCTGCACTAATTCAAATGATAATTGCGCGGTCATGCAATGCTATACCCAAACAAAATTTACGTCCTTTTTTTCACACAAATAGAGCTTTCTTTTGGTGGTATTTGATCACCTGTGCGCTTTTTATTTTTTGCGCTATAAACAAAAAAACCACGAAAATTTTGAAAAAAAAACAATATTTTTCTACTTTCAGCTATAAAAAATATATCGTAAACTCAAAGTTAGTCATAAATTTAAGCCAAAATGTATTCTGCTACATGTTTTTGGTAAAAAAAATCCCAATAAGTGTATATTGATTGCTTTGTGTGAAAGTTATAGCGTCTACAAACTATGGTATAGATACTGTAATTTATGCCTTTTTTTGCTATACAGCGCTGCACTAACTCAAATGATAATTGCGCGATCATGCAATGCTGCACCCAAACGAAAATTATGTCCTTTTTTTCACACAAATAGAGCTTTCTTTTGGTGGTATTTGATCACCTGTGCGCTTTTTATTTTTTGCGCTATAAACAAAAAAACCACAAAAATTTTGAAAAAAAAACAATATTTTCTACTTTCAGCTATAAAAAATATATCGTAAACTCAAAGTTAGTCATAAATTTAAGCCAAAATGTATTCTGCTACATGTTTTTGGTAAAAAAAATCCCGTGCATTAGCGGGCAAACTGGCGCTATCTAGGAGGGGCGCTAACACTATCGGAAGTCACCAGTGACACTAATACAGTGATCAGTAAAAATCTGTTCACTGTAATCAATGACACTGGTGACAGGGCAGTGAAGGGGTTAACTGGGGGGGGGGCGATCAAGGGGTTAAATGGGATTTCTGGTGCACTAGCGGGCAATCTGGCGCTATCTGGGAGGGGCGCTAACACTATCGGAAGTCACCAGCGACACTGATACAGTGATCAGTAAAAATTGGTTCACTGATCAGTGACACTGGTGACAGGGCAGTGAAGGGGTTAACTGGAGGGGGGGGGTTATCAAGGGGTTAAACGGGATTACTGGTGTACTGGCGGGCAATCTGGCGCTATCTGGGAGGGGCGCTAACTCTATCGGAAGTCGCCAGCGACACTGATACAGTGATCAGTAAAAATCGGTTCACTGATCAGTGACACTGGTGACAGGGCAGTGAATGGGTTAACTGGGGGGTGGGAGATTAAGGGGTTAAATGGGATTACTGGTGTACTAGCGGGCAATCTGGCGCTATCTGGGAGGGGCGCTAACACTATCGGAAGTCGCCAGCGACACTGATACAGTGATCAGTAAAAATTGGTTCACTGATCAGTGACACTGGTGACAGGGCAGTGAAGGGGTTAACTGGGGGGGGGTGATCAAGGGGTTTAACGGGATTACTGGTGTACTGGCGGGCAAACTGGCCCTATCTGGGAGGGGCGCTAACACTATCGGAGTCGCCAGCGACACTGATACAGTGATCAGTAAAAATTGGTTCACTGATCAGTGACACTGGTGACAGGGCAGTGAAGGGGTTAACTGGGGGGGTGATCAAGGGGTTAAAACGGGATTACTGGTGTACTGGCGGGCAATCTGGCGCTATCTGGGAGGGGCGCTAACTCTATCGGAAGTCGCCAGCGACACTGATACAGTGATCAGTAAAAATTGGTTCACTGATCAGTGACACTGGTGACAGGGCAGTGCAGGGGTTAACTGGGGGGGGGGGGCGATCAAGGGGTTAAACGGGATTACTGGTGTACTGGCGGGCAAACTGGCCCTATCATGGCCACCTTTACCTTCATTCTTCCACATCTGTACAGGCTCCTTTCCTTGTACTGAAATCATTTACCCTGATTTCACTGCACACTGTGAACGTCTTACAGTGTACATTAGAAACTGCAGTCATTCATTTCCTGGCTGGGAGACATTCAGTATCATCTAGAACTCTGATCCAAAGTCTAACTGTCTATTGACTTTCATTCATTCAATTTTGGTTCTGTTAATCATGGAGGCTCAGCATCACATATGTGCATTACTTAAGGTATGCAAAGGCAACCTACCCAGGAATGCCCATTTCTCCAGACTGACATCCATACATCAAGGCATATTTGCACAACTCGTTCCAAGAGCCGGGCCACAGCTTGCATCAGGTCTGAGAGCTCTTTAACCACTTGAGCCCCAGAGGATTTACCCCCCTTAATGACCAGGCCTTTTTTTGCTGTTTGGCGCTGCACTAATTCAAATGATAATTGCACGGTCATGCAATGCTATACCCAAACAAAATTTACGTCCTTTTTTTCACACAAATAGAGCTTTCTTTTGGTGGTATTTGATCACCTGTGCGCTTTTTATTTTTTTGCGCTATAAACAAAAAAACCACGAAAATTTGAAAAAAAAACAATATTTTCTACTTTCAGCTATAAAAAATATATCGTAAACTCAAAGTTAGTCATAAATTTAAGCCAAAATGTATTCTGCTACATGTTTTTGGTAAAAAAAATCCCAATAAGTACAGTGATCCAATAAGATACAGTGATCAGTAAAAATTGGTTCACTGATCAGTGACACTGGGTGACAGGGCAGTGAAGGGTTTAACTGGGGGGGGGGGGCGATCAAGGGGTTAAACGGGATTACTGGTGTACTGGCGGGCAATCTGGCGCTATCTGGGAGGGGCGCTAACTCTATCGGAAGTCGCCAGCGACACTGATACAGTGATCAGTAAAAATTGGTTCACTGATCAGTGACACTGGGTGACAGGGCAGTGAAGGGGTTAACTGGAGGGGGGGGGCGATCAAGGGGTTAAACGGGATTACTGGTGTACTGGCGGGCAAACTGGCGCTATCTGGGAGGGGCGCTAACTCTATCGGAAGTCGCCAGCGACACTGATACAGTGATCAGTAAAAATTGGTTCACTGATCAGTGACACTGGGTGACAGGGCAGTGAAGGGGTTAACTGGAGGGGGGGGATGATCAAGGGGTTAAACGGGATTACTGGTGTACTGGCGGGCAATCTGGCGCTACTGGGAAGGGCGCTAACTCTATCGGAAGTCGCCAGCGACACTGATCAGTAAAAATCGCTTCACTGATCAGTAACACTGGTGACAGGGCAGTGAAGGGTTAACTGGAGGGGGGGGCGATCAGGGGTTAAATGTGTCCTAGAGTGTTCTAACTGTAGTGTAGTGCTTGTGTACTCACTTTTTGGATGTCTTCTTCTCTGTCTGGAACGGAATGTGTCCAGGCAGAGAAGAATGACATCATATCCTGCCCTGTGTATGTCAACACAGGACAGGATAGGACAGGGACCGATCATGTGATTTCAGCCAGAAATCACTGGCTGAAATCTAATGATTGATCCCTCCTGGATCAAATAGTGTCACCCGCGGGTCGGCGGGAGCGCGCGCGCGCGCCCCCTGCCGGCGAAAGTGTCGGGAGCGCGGAACCCGTTTTTAAACGTGGTTTTGCGCTCCACTGCCGCCCTGCACACGTATATACACAGTGGCAGGGCGGCAAGCGGCTAGAGAAGTACTGAAGAAGGAGGTTGTGATGTTTTCAGGAAGCTGTGTACTGCCCCCTGCTGGCCACGCCTTCTATCTATGATCTGCTTACATTGCATAGAGAAGCACACAAATTCAGTGATGACATCACTGGGTCTAAAATAATGGATTAATTACAACAGAAAATGTTTAATTTAAAGCCTGTTGAAAAATGGGGAAGGAAGGACCATGGAAGACAAAATAATAAGTAAATTAACCTTCAGCTTTAACCTACTGAAATAGACAAAAGAAAGCAGCAACAAAAATATTATGCCTAGTAACCAGCCAGGTTTCATCACTTATCTTTTGTGAAAAATTAGGCAAAGAATCATGTCAGTCACTATGGACAACTTCAGGTTTGTTCCTACATTCACCATGTGTTTTCATTGCTGTTGGTATCACTGTTGAGGTTGCCCTTCACTTAGTGATCTGCCACCCCTTGTCTGCTCAGGACAAGGCACCGGAATAAGAGTCTATTAGGGTACATGCATACTGGATGCTAAATTATTGCCCTGGATGTTTTTCTTTTGGCAACAGAAAAATGCTTCATTCTGGTAAACGTGTGCACTGCGTTTAGCTGCATTTACCCGCGTCAAGCATATGGGCGTCTATTCGTTTCATTGGCCAGAATAAATCATTTATTCTGGCCATTAAGATGAAAGAATTTCCAAGTGCTAAACGCTCCTAGCAGTAGTACACGTTTAGCAGAGTCTCCAAGTGTTTTCATCAGGGGCGGACTGACCATTTGGAAACTCGGGCACTGCCCGAGGGCCCGGGGTCGGTAGGGGGCCCCATGAGATGCCCCTGGTACCTTTTTCATAGGCTTTTTTGAGTTTGGGCAAGGACACAGGGGCCCCATGATCCCCTATTGCCCGGGGGCCCCATGAGTTTTCAGTCCGCCCCGGTTTTCATACAGTGTTGCAGGAGATGTTGGTGTTACATAGTAGTAACAATGAAAAAGATATATCTTTTCATTTCACTCTGTTTCTGCTATCTTGCTGTCGCCAGTTCTTCTTTACTGCAGCTGTTAGCATAAACTGAATATGAAAGTGTAGGAACACAGATGTATTTCAGGGACAGAGATCTTTTAGTGCAGATCACTTAATTATTTGAACAATGAAATAAAATCCTGATTCTGTAGCTACATAATCTGAAATGTCAACATCTGTCAACTTTAAGCAGGAAAACATTGGCCACTGAAGAATGTTTAATCTCTATTGTGTTCATTAGATGCCACCCACGGACTGACTGCAGTATGACTCTAGTCTCATTTCCCTTTTCCTGCCAGGCTCCAGGTTGGCCAACAAGTACGTGCCAGTCCACATGCTGCAGTAGCAGAGGAGTGTGGCACTGAAAAAACATCAAACGCTGATGCTAGACTGCTACATATTATAAAGGGAAGTGGTATTCGACAAACTACAGCACTGTCAATACAAATTAAAGGTCATTTCTCCCTAAATAGAAAGTGCAACCAGACATCTTATGGTGAGTTGGGCTAAATAGAATCAATCTGTACCTTGTTGGTCCTTGCTGGTCCACAAAAGTCACAGAAGTTCTTTAACATGGGAGAACTCCTTTAGATAACTTTCTGGGTTGCTCAGGGAACCCCTGATAATATTCTTTATTTACAACTCTACAGCACATTAGTGTAAAGGTCACTGGGAAGAATCCCCCCTTACAGATAACTAAAAAGATCCTCGGTGTCAGTGGCTACTCTTCTAAGGAGTTACCCATTGCTCAAGGAACCCTGGTTGAGAAAGGCTGCACTACACTGATGATGGCTAACCAACCCAAAACAGCTGTATATAGTTGGGAATAAATGGCTTTATAATATTAGGCTCTATTTGTGCTATACTCCAACCATTCTGGATGCAGTTACCCCCACTATCCTAAAGTGAGGTATAACCCCTTATTTTTGGGATTTGTGATGGAAATGAGACATGCAGATACCTACTGTGGATCACTAAATATAAAAACATCTAATTAAAGTATTATTATTATTATTATTATACAGGATTTATATAGCGCCAACAGTTTTCTCAGCACTTTACAATATAACGGGAGAAAATACAGCAACAATACAGTTCAATACAAGAGGGATAGGAGGGTCCTGCTCCTTGGAGCTTACAATCTAAGAGGTATATTTCTATATATTATTATTATACAGGATTTATATAGCGCCAACAGTTTGCTCAGCACTTTACAATATAAAGGGAGACAATACAGCAACAATACAGTTCAATACAATAGGAAGAGGGATATATCTATATATTATTATTATACAGGAGGGCCCAGTTTGCTCCACTTTACAATTAACAGGAGACAATACAGCAACAATACAGTTCAAGAGGGATAGGAGGGTCCTAGCTACAATCTATAGGTATATATCTATATATTATTATTATACAGGATTTATATAGCGCCAACAGTTTGCTCAGCACTTTACAATATAACAGGAGACAATACAGCAACAATACAGTTCAATACAAGAGGGATAGGAGGGTCCTGCTCCTTGGAGCTTACAATCTAAGAGGTATATATCTATATATTATTATTATACAGGATTTATTATATAGCACCAACAGTTTGCTCAGCGCTTTACAATATAACGGGAGACAATACAACAACAATACAGTTCAATACAAGAGGGATAGGAGGGCCCTGCTCCTTGGAGCTTACAATCTAAGAGGTATATATCTATATATTATTATTATACAGGATTTATATAGCGCCAACAGTTTGCTCAGCACTTTACAATATAACGGGAGACAATACAGCAACAATACAGTTCAATACAAGAGGGATAGGAGGGCCCTGCTCCTTGGAGCTTACAATCTAAGAGGTATATATCATATATTATTATTATACAGGATTTATACAGCACCAACAGTTTGCTCAGCACTTTACAATATAACGGGAGACAATACAGCAACAACACAGTTCAATACAAGAGGGATAGGAGGGCCCTGCTCCTCGGAGCTACAATCTAGGTAGTTTAGATGAAATACACTGCTCAAAAAATTAAAGGAACACTTTGAATAAACATCAGATCTCAATGGGGAAAAATATAATGCAGGATATCTACGTATACTGATATGTAATGGGTAATGTGTTAGGAATGTTAGGATGCCCCATCGCTTGATGGAAATTAAAATTATCAACCTACTCAGGACTGAATTCAAAGACACCCCGAAAATCAAAGTTAAAAAATGATGCAGCAGGCTTGTTCATTTTGCTGAAATTTCATTGCAGCAACTCAGTGTGGTACTCAGTAGTTTGTATGGCCCCCACGTTCTTGTATGCATGCCTGACAATGTCGGGGCATGCTCCTAATGAGACAACGGATGGTGTCCCGGGGTATTTCCTCCCAGACCTGGACCAGGGCATCACTGAGTTCCTAGACAATCAGAGGTGCAACCTGGCGGCATCAGAAGGACCAAAACATGATATCTCAGAGGTGCTGGATTTAGGTCAGTCGAGTGTGGGGGGCCATTCAATCGCATCAATTCCTTCATCCTCCTGGAACTGCTTGTATACTCTTGCCATGGGCATTGTTGTGCACCGGGAGGAATCCAGGCCCCACTGCACCAGCCTAGGGTCTGACAAGAGGTCCAAGGATTTCATCCTGATACCTAGTGGCAGTCAGGGTGCCATTGTCTACCCTGTAGAGGTCTGTGCGTCCCTCCATGAATATGCCTCCCAAGACCATCACTGACCCACCACCAACACAGTCATGCTGAATGATGACAGGCAGCATAACATTCTCCACAGCTTTTCCAGACCCTTTCATGTCTGTCACATGTGCTCAGGGTGAACCTGCTCTCATCTGTGAAAAGCACAGGGCGCCAGTGGCGGACCTGCCAATTCTGGTGTCCAATGGCAAATGCCAATCAAGCTCTATGATGCCAGGCAGTGAGCACAGGGCCCACTAGAGGACGTCAAACCCTCAGGCCACCCTCATGAAGTCTGTTTCTCATTGTTTGGTCAGAGCCATTCACACCAGTGGCCTGCTGGAAGTCATTTTATAGGACACTGGCAGTGCTCATCCTGTTCCTCCTTGCACAAAGGAGCAGATACTGGTCCTGCTGATGGGTTAAGGACCTTCTACGGCCCTGTCTAGCTCTCCTAGAGTAACTGCCTGTCTCCTGGAATCTCCTCCATGCTCTGTGCTGGGAAACACAGCAAACCTTCTGGCAATGGCACGTATTGATGTGCCATCCTGGAGTAGTTGGATGGCCTGTGCAACCTTTGTAGGGTCCAGGTATCGCCTCATGCTACCAGTAGTGACACTGACCCTAGCCAAATGCAAAACTAGTGAAAAACAGTCAGACAAGAAGAGTAGGGGAAAAAATGTCAGTGGCCTCCACCTGTAAAACCATTCCTATTTTGGGGGTGATCTCATTGTTGCCCATCTAGTGCACCTATTGTTAAATTTCATTAACACCAAAGCAGATGAAACTAATTAACAACCCCCTCTGCTACTTAACTGACCAGATCAATATCTCAGGTGTTTAATTGACCTGATGCTGTACCCTGATTAAAAAAAATGTTCTTTTAATTTTTTTGGGAAGTGTAGAATAATCTCTATCATTAAAAGGTTTACAGGAAAACATGGACTGCAGTTCTTTCTGATTGTCAAGGACTGAAGAAAACCTATACAAAGAGAAATATGGAAGCTTTCATTACTGACCTCCTTTTGCAATTGATAACTGCCTGGCAGTTATCCTATTCTTCTACCTTTGAGCCACTGAGCAAGTAAAGTCATAAATGTAGATTTGTCTGCTGAGCAAAACTTTCCTGTTCTTGAAGCCACCAACCAAACATGATGCCTAAGGACAGTCATATCGTGAATTGACGTGCATTGCCCTTATATGTTCAGAGGTGACATTAGGCCTAGCAGAAGCTCAAGAATCTTCATTGCGATTATTCAGTTTTCTTGCCTTAAAGGCAAAAATGTCTCTAAGAAAATCCGTAGAAGACATTACTCATGCAGGGGCTTTCTTAACATGGAAGATCAAATGTTTTACTATTCAGAATTTTGTCTTAATGTGTTACTAATTCCACAACAGTAAAATCAGTCTCTATAATATACGTATGTAAAGCGCTGCGTAAATTGACAGCGCTATATAAGTACCTGAAATAAATAAATATGCAGTAAAGCATGCTTGTTATACTCCCTCTGGAACCTAAGGGGTTAATTCCCTGCACTGTGTAAAAAGGCTGTTTGATCCTGTCTTCTCTGATCCTCCCCTTCTTCCAGTGTCCCCCTCTTATCTGATAAGACATAGCGTGTGGAGTCACTCTGCACATGCTCAGTTTGGTGTGTATTGCTAGAGAGGTTTTTTTTTTTCTTGGGAGAGTGCATGTGATTAGCATAGATCCAATCAACACTGTCCAGACAGAGTTCAGGGGTGCTGCATCCTCCTAGAGAAAAATAAAAACTCGTCCTACAAGCTTTAACCAGAGCTCGACTGGACACTGACAGAAGTCACAAGACTGCTATATACTGCTGAAGAGAAGAGATATTTAGCAGTTTATATTTACATGTTCTGTGTACTGTGTACTGTGTACTGTGGGAGACCAGATATATATAGAATGCAGGGTCCTGTGTTTAGTAACACTTTAAATGATTTTAAAGCTCAGCTGAACCTTTTATACAGTATGTATCACTATATTATTGTCAGGCTGTACATACACTAACAAATATTCTGGTCTTTCACGTTGTTTTAGTAGCTCTGTGCTGCAGCAAGAGTAAAATACTATATACTGGAAGCAACTGGGAAAATCAGAGAGCTGCTTTCACAAATAAAGCCCCTTTCACACTGGGTAGACTCTGTTTAGATCAGCAAAAGATGTCTCCACTGATCCCCTGCTGATCAGAGCAGAGTGGGAAGAATACAGGTCCGTGTCTGCTCAATTTATGCAGAGCAGACACAGGCACAGCTTGTTCTGCTCTATGGGCGGCCAGGAGTAAACGGACATGACTGCCCTCCGATCCAATCCAA